TTAGTAGTGAGTGCTATATACCTTTAAAATATTATCTATATGAGACCAAATGGTCAATAATTATTGTAAATCAAAGGTTAAGTATAAAGGGACAGGGTAATCAGATTACTGGAAATAAAACATCCAGAATGAAATTAATGAAAATGTTGACAAATTATAAAAAATGTAACCAGTGTCAATGATCAATTTGTGTAGCAATTATTAAAAGGAAACCTAACTTATTTGTAAACTTTCACTAAGCTCACAAAAACATATATATATATTTTTCAAAATTGGCACAAAGTTATATGCTTCTTTATGTTTTGGGGGAAATTGAATTTAAGTGAGGAATTTGAAAATTCAGTTTCTTTCTTCGAGGATAGCTTTCACTTTGGACTTGGGTTCTTATTGACCTCAGCATGTAGTTCAATTATTCTGATATTTTAAAAACACATTAATTGTCTTGAAGACCAGCCTGGAGCAGCTAGAGGAACAGAAGATACTTCTTGAAAGAAAGACCAGCAGGAAAACACAAAAACAAAAATGGCAGTCTGATTGGCTACTACAAGAACAAGCAAGTTGATCATCAGGGAGTTATCAAGGCAAGCAATCAAGTCCCTTCAGGACAAAGCCCCTCCCAAGACTGAAACTCAAAGGGAATATGTGAGCAGGCACGTAAGCTTGCTGGTGACCATGTTGGTCTACTGATTAGTGGAAGTTGGAGAAAAGTATCAATGAAGAGGTAGACTGAGTCCGACCAAGTTACATAGACCCCCATCGACCTGGAGTATGGTAAGAGCTGGTTGGCCTGAAGTATGGTGAGATCTGGGGACTCCTGAGCACATGGACAAGGACATGGCCAGGGAGGGCTAGAGCTGAGAGTGAAGCATCCAGCTGATATGAAGTGAAAGGATATGCACAAGTTTGCCCAAACTTGCAGATAGTGCCTATTAGACCTAGCTTCAATGGCTGGATGTTCAGAACCTGACTAGAGGAAGGAAAAGAGGGGGATTTTTTTTTTTTTTAAGAAAACAAGTGTAAATTTGCTACAACCTGATGAACTTGACCTATATTTATGGATATAATAGCTTAAAATACCAACCAAGAGAGAAATAATCTTTACAGCAAGGATCATTCCCATCCCCTCTGTACACAGGGTTGATAGGGATGGGCTACTTAGACATGGGCTACTTAAAATGGGGGAGTTGTAAAGGCACAAAGTAACTGGTTTACAAGTTTTCAAGAGGGAGTTTGGATTCAGAGTGTGTGGGGGAAGGTAGAATCCCCACTGAGTTGTTTTCATCCTATCTAGACAGGTCTGGTGAAAGGAGATGGGGACAAGACTCTCATGATTCAGTAGTGACTAATTGTTATCATGATTAATTGTGATTGTAGTAAAAAGGGGTGAGTGGTCGATTTTACAGTCCTGGAGTAGAGGACCCTGGGACCATCAAGGGATAAGAACGGGAATGGAGTGTGGGGCCATACCCAGAGAAGCAGCGGTGCCAGAGATGGAGGCAGAGATGATGACATGGAGAGACAGAGCAGCTGAGGACTCTAGACTCATGGAGGGAGATGGTATGTAGGCTGATGGCCAGGGGGCAGGCTTGCAGGGTGTGCCCTTTGGCTGTTTGAATGATTGTATATTCCTGAGTGTTTTGGTGCACATCAAAAACAAAGAACAAAAATCCCCAGAGGGGAAGCAAATACTATTGAGTGATGAAGCATGCAGGGGATTGTAATCATTGCAATGAAACAAATACTATAGGATGAGTGTAAAACTGATGATCCCCACCCCCCATGTAAACTATCACTCAATTCACAATAAAAACATTTTTAAAAAATGAATTCTCTCTTGAAAGCCTCTCAAGGATACTCTTCTAAATCATATTCTCTAGGGAGACTCATTTTTATAATAGTCTTCTACCTAAAATCAGCTGTTTTATACTAGCCGTCCCCACTCCCCAGCACCACCATCAGTGGGTTGGTAGAAAGTGTTTGCATGAGTTATCTTCAGCACCTTTAGTGAATTTCCATATACACTTTGGGATCAAAGGAGGCTTGGGGAATCTTATGCGCCCCAAAAACAATAAGTGGTTGTGGCAATTCTCCTTTTCATCTAGGCCCCACCCCCCATTCCTGCCATTCAATTGTAAATATTACTTACACAAAAGCTGTGGCAAAGGTTCCTACAACTGCCTTCTGCCAAGGCGACGTGAGATAGATCAATTGTTTCAAAGTGTGCAAACTGGAAAAAATTAAGAGGGAGAAGACCCATTCTGGTTAATGAAGCAAGGAAATATTAGAAGGCTAAACAAACAAACAAACAAAAAAGCACACACACCCACTATTAGGAATTGTTGACAGTCATGAGCCAATGAATTCTTTGCCTAGAGTGTTGGGATTTGTTTAGCATCATGATTATTTTTTTCTTTTTTTGATAAATCATGTGACAAAGAAAAAAAATTTTATCAAAATACATCTCTTTCCAAAATGTTTATATGAATTTATAGAAAGGCTTGGGTTATTCAAGTGAAAATTATCCAAATATAAATGTTTATGTTGACAAAGATAATGGGATATGGTCAACCTAGAGACCTGAAGAAGCAGATTGTTGTTAGCTCCTATTTGCTAATTCCATTCCGTTTGAAGCCTTTGTTCGCATATACACTAGCTATAGTAGATACTACACAACCAGCTATACCCTCAACCCTGCCCCAAACAGGAAATCAGTTGGGTTGGGTAATATCTACTTAATTGGTATTCAAACTGTGTAGTCATTTGAGACCTCATGCTCAGAAGGAAAAAGAAATTATAGGTTCAGCACTTTACTATTTTGATGATTTTCTGCTTCAGTCTTGAAATTGTTGATAATTTTTTTTATTGTATGTGAAACTCAATAGGGTAATGAACATGTGAGAAGAAGAGATTCACACAATATTGATATCTACCCTTGTTCCTTGCCACTTTACTTGTATATGACATTTATGATGCCCATGAACACAGAATTCCAGTGGACCCCATGATATGTGGGTATTCACTGAGACTTAAATCAAGTACAAGGTAAGCATGCTACATCTATGACTGAGTAAGCAAGGGTCCCGACATCCCCAAGAGGCCATACTTTCCATTCAAATCAGAGTTTGCCTCAAATGCAGAAAGAAGGCAATGCTGTTATAAGAAACACAAATTACCAAGGACTCATATATTATTTCTTACGCATTTTACTTCTAAATATTAGCCAACTAATTGTGCTAAAAATGATGACATAAAAGAAAAGGGAAAGATAAAGAAGCTCATAATTTCTTTTCCTTTCAGAGAGTGTTGGTAGAATGTTCAATTATCAAAAAGTGAAATAAAAGCAGTTGAATTAGTTTTATGTACTGATAAGAAAAACTATATATGCATATGTTGTGGTTGTTAACAGCCATCAAGTCAGTTCTGCCTCATGGCAACCCTGCATAGGGTTTCCAATGAGTGGCTGGTGGGTTTGAACTGTCAACATTGCAGTTAGAAGTCCAGTGTTTATCTTACAATACCACACATATGCATATGTTGTTGTTGTTTTTAAGTACCATGGAGTTGGCTCCGACTCATAACGACCCTGCACAGGGTTTCCGAGGCTGCAAATCTTTACGGGAGCAGAAAGTCTCATCTTTCTTCCATGGAACAGCTGGTAATTTCGAACTGTCAACCTTGAGGTTAGCAGCCTGATTCATAACCACTACGCTACCAGAGCTCCTTTCATATGTGAGCTACTAAATACACATTATGTAATTCTGTTGATTCTTCATATGAGTTAAATGCTCTTATCTATGTTTTTAAAACTGGCTTTGCAGATTTTACAGATAAATATAGACTCATGCTAATTATTTAAAATTCGAATACTTCTTTACTTAGAATGACACCAAATGGCAAATAAAAAACACCATGACAACTCAAGTGAGAAACCATGGAAGAAAAGAAAAAGTTTTGCATTTTAGTAGCATTAATGAAACATTTTTCCTGACTTTTGAATAGGGGACCCTGAATGTTCATTTTATGCTGAGCCCTACCAATTATGCAGTTGGCACTGAGTATACAAGCTAACTTAGGGATCTCCTGAAAGAAAGGGAAAGAAGAAGAGAGAGAAAACTGTCCTCCACTTGGTACTAAAAAAGGAGATGGTGTAAACGTCTGCATTGTTTGCCACCTATAGCTCCATCTCCCCACACAAATATTTCTAGCACCCACCCACTAATCTAACTGTATAAGATACTAGATATTACCGCAGGATGGTGTGCAAAGCAGAGATTTTGTCCTTGAACCAGAACATATCTAAGCTTCCATCTCTTGAAGGAGTTACAGTTCTTCAGCAGAGGTCCTTCCTTCAGTATTTTCTGAAAAACAAATACTGAGAGTTGAATAATTAGATCAATTAGTACGACCATAGCACTTAATTTTTCAGATGGAATAACCAAATATTTCTAAGACTCTGTGTCACATATCTGAGAAGTAGCCTGATGGGATAGGCATGAACACAATGACATTAATCCGGTCAGGAAAGATATTGTTTACCCTTGAATAACACATTCATCCTGGTAGGACACACCATGATCTTCCAGTAAACATACATGTCACCTGTATCTTGAAAAGGTCTTCATTCAATAAAGCAGATTTAAAGGTTTCAAACATGTCCCAAGCTTATTAGGAGTTGATGTATGGATCAAATAGTTAATACACCTGGCTGCTAACTGGTTGCTTGAGTCCACTCAGGGAAACCCTGAAGGAAAGACCCGGTAATCTTTTGAAAAATTAACCACTGAAAACTATGAAGCACAGGAAAACTCAGACACACATGGAATCACCATGAGTTGGAATTGACTAGATAGCAACTGATTAGTTCATAGGAACCATGGGGTCCATCTCCATTTGGGGTGCTGGGGCTGGGTGTGTTGTGGCAGATACAAACAAATATAAGAACATCACTCCCAAGCAACAATTGTTGCTGTTGTTAAGTGCCATCAAGTCGATTCTGACTCATAGCAATTCTGTATAGGGTTTCTGAGGAGTGGCTGATGAGCTTGAACTGCTGACCTTGTGGTTCAAATGAACCTTTCAGTCCAGCACATTTAATGGTACAGAAATAATTAGCTGGGCTCAGTAAAGTCAGTTCCTTTGAAAGTCCCCAAGTGGTAGCTCCATCTGGTCTTCCTGACAGACCTTTTAGAACATTCCTATAAGAATATTAAGTTAGATTATGTTCCTTCCCTGTTGACAAGCCTCCAATATAGCATCTCATCATATTTAGAACCAAATTAAAAGTTCTTACAATGGCCTTCAAGGGGCCTTATGACCTGGATAGGGTGGCCAACTACTGCTGTCAAGACAACTCTGACTCATTGCCAACCTACAGGACAAAGTAAATCTTCATGGAAGCAGACTGCCACATCTTTCTCCTGCAGAGTAGCTGGTGGGGTTGAAATGCTGAACTTTTGGTTAGCAGCCAAGTGCTTCAACTACTGTGCCACCAAGACTCCTGTATAGAGATCAAGTACATAAAAAAGGACTACCAAAACTTTACCTTCTTTAATTTACTATCATCTTAAGGTTTTCAGTGGCTAACCATTCAGAAGTGACCTCGTCTTCTTCTTCCTAGTCTGTCTTAGTCTGTAAGCTCCACTGAAATTTGTCCACCATGAGTGACCCTGATGGCATTTAAAACACTGGAGGTATAGCTTCCAGCATCACAGCAACACACAAGCTACCACAGTATGACACATTGATAGATGAGTGTCGAAAACTTTATGAATAGCAGCAGAAAGTTGTCTGATATCTGGCAGATGAGTCCCTCAGGTCATAAAGCACTCAAAATATCAATAGGAAGAAGCTGCCTCCTCAAAGTAGAGTTGACCTTAATGATGTGGATGGAATGAAGCTTTAAGAACCTTCATTTGCTTATGGTACACAACTCAAAGTGAAAAGAAACAGCTGCAAACATCCACTAATAATGGGACTGTGGAATGTACTAAGCATGAATCTAGGAGAATTGGAAGTCATCAAAAACAAAATGGAATACATACTGATGAAATGGACTGGCATTGGCCATTTTGAATCTGACACTCATAAGTTTTACTGTGGTTGGAAAGAAAAACTGAAGAAAAATGGTTTTACAGTCATCATTAAGATCTATCTTGAAAGTACAGTGCTGTTTGTAATACGATAATATTCATATGTCTATAAGTAAGACATATGAAGGAGTTCTGGTAGCATAGTGGTTATGAATCGGGCTGCGAACCTCAAGGTCAGCAGTTCGAAACTATCAGCTGCTGCACGGGAGAAAGATGAGGCTTTCTGCTCCCATAAAGATTTACAGCCTCGTAAACCCTGTTCAGGGGCACTATGGGTTGGAACCGACTCGACGGCACTTAACAACAACAACAGCATAAGTAAGACCAGTTAATATCACTGTTACTCAAATTAATCTGCAGTACCAAACCAGGATCAATAAATAACATGATAAATGGAGAAAAGATTGAAGATGTCAAAGACTTAATTTTGTTTGGACCCATAATCAATGCTCATGAAAGCACAGTCTAGAAATAAAGTAACATACTGCATTAGGCAAATCTGCTGCAAAATACCTTTTTAAAGAGTTCAAGAGCAAAGGTGTCACTTTGAGAACTAAAGTGCACTTGACCCAAGTCATGGTATTTTCAATCACCTCATGTGTATGTGAATGTTGGACAATGAATAAAGAAGACCATAAAAGAATTGATGAATTTGAATTATGGTATTGGAGAACATTGAAAGTACCATGGATTGCCAGAATTACAAATAAATCTGTCTTGGAACAAGTACAGTCACAATTCTCCTTAGAACCAGGGATGGCCAGACTTTATCTCTTGTACTTTGGGCATGTTGTCAGGAGGGACCAGTCCCTGGAAAAGGACAACATGATGGGATAAGTGGAGGGTTAATGAAAGAGAGGAAGACCCTCAATTAGATGGACTCAATTAGATGGCAGCAACAATGGGATCAAACATAATAGCAATTGTGAGGAAGGCAAAGGGCTGTGTAGTATTGTGTTCTATATTGCACAGAATCACTATAGTTGGCACCAGTTTGATGGCACTTCACAACAACAACAACATACTACTAGCATCAGAGTGCTTCTATATTCACGAGGAAGGATCAGGATCAACCCTAAACTGATTCTTATTAGGTGAACCCCAGACAGGTCTTCATTCTCCAGCTTTTTTACCCTTTCTGGTTTCTGGCAGCATGTCCTTTCCCACC